AATATTTTGAAGTGTCTTTTGGTTTTTTTTGTCTTTTTTTTGGCTACCATGTGTTTCAAAGCCTGTAACAATATTTTTGTCTTTTGGTTTTCTTTCTGTTTGGTTACCATGTGCTTCAAAGCCTGTAACAATATTTTTTCTTTTGGTTTTTCTTTTGTTTTGGCTACCATGTGTCTTTTGGTCTTTTTTTCTTTCTGTTTGGCTTACCATGTGCTTCAAAGCCTGTAACAATATTTTGGAAAGTGTCTTTTGGTTTTCTTTCTTCTGTTTGTAACAATACCATGTGTCTTTTCAAAGCCTGTAACTTAAAGCCTGTAACAATTTTGAAGTGTCTTTTGGTTTTTTTCTGTTTGGCTACCATGTGCTTCAAAGCCTGTAACAATATTTTTGGTGTCTTTTGGTTTTTCTTTCTGTTTGGCTACCATATTGCTTCAAAAGCCTGTAACAATATTTTGAAGTGTCTTTTGTTTTTCTTTCTGTTTGGCTACCATGTGCTTCAATAAAGCCTCTTTTAACAATATTTTTTAAAGTGTCTTTTGGTTTTTCTTTCTGTTTGGCTACCATGTGCTTCAAAGCCTGTAACAATATTTTGAAGTGTCTTTTGGCTTTTTCTTTCATGTTTGGCTACCATGTGCTTCAAAGCCTGTTAAACAATATTTTGAAGTGTCTTTTGGTTTTCTTTTTTTGGCTACCATGTGCTTCAAAGCCTGTAACAATATTTTAAAGTGTCTTTTGGTTTTCTTTCTGTTTTGGCTACCATGTGCTTCAAAGTTTGGCTACCCTGTAACAATATTTTAAAGTGTCTTTTGGTTTCTTTCTGTTTGGCTACCATTCTTCAAAGCCTTAACAATATTTTAAAGTGTCTTTTGGTTTTTCTTTCTGTTTGGCTACCATGTGCTTCAAAAAGCCTGTAACAATATTTTGAAGTGTCTTTTGGTTTCTTTAATGTTTTGGCTACCATGTGCTTCAAAGCCTGTAACAATATTTTAAAAGTTTTCCTGTTTGTAATGTGCTTCAAATGTAACAATTTTGAAGTGTCTTTTGGTTTTCTTTTTCTGTTTGGCTACCATGTGCTTCCAAAGCCTGTAACAATATTTTTGAAGTGTCTTTTGGTTTTTCTTTCTGTTTGGCTACCATGTGCTTCAAAGCCTGTAACAATATTTTGAAGTCTTTTGGTTTTCTTTCTGTTTGGCTACCATGTTTTCAAAGCCTGTAACAATATTTTAAGTGTCTTTTGGTTTTCTTTCTGTTTGGTTACCATGTGCTTCAAAGCCTGTAACAATATTTTTGAAGTGTCTTTTGGTTTTCTTTCTGTTTGGCTACCATGTGCTTCAAAGCCTGTAACAATATTTTAAAGTGTCTTTTGGTTTTCTTTCTGTTTGGCTACCATGTGCTTCAAAGCCCTGTAACAATATTTTGAAGTGTCTTTTTGTTTTCTTTCTGTTTCAAAGCTACCAATATTTTAAAAGCCTTTTAACAATATTTTAAAGTGTCTTTTGGGTTTTTTTCTGTTTGGCTACCATGTGCTTCAAAGCCTGTAACAATATTTTGAAGTGTCTTTTGGTTTTTTTCTTTCTGTCTTTTTTGGTTACCATGCTTCAAAGCCTGTAACAATATTTTGAAGTGTCTTTGGTTTCTTAATGTTTTGGCTACCATGTGCTTCAAAGCCTGTAACAAATATTTTGAAGTGTCTTTTGGTTTCTTTCTGTTTGGCTACCATGTGCTTCAAAGCCTGTAAACAATATTTTGAAGTGTCTTTTGGTTTCTTTCTGTTTGGCTACCATTTTCAAAGCCTGTAACAATATTTTAAAGTGTCTTTTGGTTTTCTTTCTGTTTGGCTACCATGTGCTTCAAAGCCTGTAACAATATTTTGAAGTGTCTTTTGGTTTTCTTTCTGTTTGGCTACCATGTGCTTCAAAGCCTGTAACAATATTTTAAAGTGTCTTTTGGTTTTCTGTTTGGCTACCATGTGCTTCAAAGCCTGTAACAATATTTTGAAGTGTCTTTTGGTTTTCTTTCTGTTTGGCTACCATGTGCTTCAAAGCCTGTAACAATATTTTGAAGTGTCTTTTGGTTTTACTTTCTGTTTGTTTACCATGTCTTTTGTTTCAAAGCCTGTAACAATATTTTGAAGTGTCTTTTGGTTTTGGTTTTTTCTGTTTTTTACCATGTGCTTCAAAGCCTGTAACAATATTTTTAAAGTGTCTTTTGGTTTTCTTTTGGCTACCATGTTCTTCAAAGCCTGTAACAATATTTTGGAGAGTGTCTTTTGGCTTTCTTTCTGTTGGCTACCATGTGTTTTAAAGCCTGTAACAATATTTTTGAAGTGTCTTTTGGTTTTCTTTCTGTTTGGCTACCATGTGCTTCAAAGCCTGTAACAATATTTTGAAGTGTCTTTTGGTTTTTTCTTTACCTCAAAAGCCTGTAACAATATTTTAAAGTGTCTTTTGGTTTTCTTTTTGTTTGTGCTTCAAAAAGCCTGTAACAATATTTTGAAAGTGTCTTTTGGTTTTCTTTCTGTTTGGCTACCATGTGCTTCAAAGTGTCTTTGCCTGTTTTAACAATATTTTTAAAGTGTCTTTTGGTTTTGGTTTTTTCTGTTTGGCTACCATGTGCTTCAAAGCCTGTAACAATATTTTGAAGTGTCTTTTGGTTTTTTCTGTTTTTGGCTACCATGTCTTGCTTCAAAGCCTGTAACAATATTTTTAAAGTGTCTTTTGGTTTTTCTTTCTGTTTGGCTACCATGTGCTTCAAAGCCTGTAACAATATTTTGAAGTGTCTTTTGGTTTTCTTTCTGTTTGGCTACCATGTGCTTCAAAGCCTGTAACAATATTTTAAAGTGTCTTTTGGTTTTTTCTGTTTGGCTACCATTGCTTCAAAGCCTGTAACAATATTTTTATAGTGTCTTTTGCTTTCTTTTTGTTTGGCTACCATGTGTTTTCAAAGCCTGTAACAATATTTTTGAAGTGTCTTTTTGTTTTCTTTCTGTTTGGCTACCATGTGTTTCAAAGCCTGTAACAATATTTTGAAGTGTCTTTTGGTTTTCTTTCTGTTTGGCTACCATGTGCTTCAAAAGCCTGTAACAATATTTTGAAGTGTCTTTTGGTTTTCTTTCTGTCTTTTGGCTACCATGTGCTTCAAAGCCTGTAACAATATTTTAAAGTGTCTTTTGGTTTTCTTTCTGTTTGGCTACCATGTGCTTCAAAGCCTGTAACAATATTTTAAGTGTCTTTTGGTTTTTCTTTCTGTTTGGCTACCATGTGCTTCAAAGCCTGTAACAATATTTTAAAGTGTCTTTTGGTCTTTTCTTTCTGTTTGGCTACCATGTGCTTCAAAGCCTGTAACAATATTTTAAAAGTGTCTTTTGGTTTTCTTTCTGTTTGTCTTTTGGTTTTTTTGGTTTTCTTTCTGTTTGGCTACCATGTGCTTCAAAGCCTGTAACAATATTTTTGAAGTGTCTTTTGGTTTTTCTTTCTGTTTGGCTACCATGTGCTTCAAAGCCTGTAACAATATTTTAAAAGTGTCTTTTGGTTTTTTTGTTTGGCTACCATGTGCTTCAAAGCCTGTAACAATATTTTGAAGTGTCTTTTGGCTTTAGCTACCATGTGCTTCAAAAGCCTGTAACAATATTTTGAAGTGTCTTTTGGTTTTCTTTCTGTTTGTGCTTCAAAGCCTGTAACAATATTTTTTGAAGTGTCTTTTGGTTTTCTTTCTGTTTGGCTACCATGTGCTTCAAAGCCTGTAACAATATTTTAAAGTGTCTTTTGTTTTCTTAATGTTTGGCTACCATGTGCTTCAAAGCCTGTAACAATATTTTAAAGTGTCTTTTGGTTTTTTTTCTGTTTTTACCATGTTCAAAGCCTGTAACCATGTCTTTGCTGTTTTTAAAGCCTGTAACAATATTTTAAAGTGTCTTTTGGTTTTTTTTTTAATGTTTGGCTACCATGTGTTTCAAAGCCTGTAACAATATTTTTGAAGTGTCTTTTGGTTTTCTTTTCTGTTTGGCTACCATGTGCTTCAAAGCCTGTAACAATATTTAAAGTGCCTTTTGTTTTTTTCTTTGTCTTTTGGTTTTTCTTCAAAGCCTGTAACAATATTTTGTGTCTTTTTGGTTTTTCATTCTGTTTGGCTACCATGTTTTAAAGCCTGTAACAATATTTTAAAGTGTCTTTTTTGTTTTTCTTTCTGTTTGGCTACCATGTGCTTCAATATTTAAAGTCTTTTGGTTTGTAACTAATATTTTAAAGTGTAACAATATTTTTGTGTCTTTTTTTCTTTCTGTTTGGCTACCTAAAGCCTGTAACAATATTTTGAAGTGTCTTTTGGTTTCTTTCAAATGTGCTTCAAAGCCTGTAACAATATTTTGAAGTGTCTTTTGGTTTTCTTTCTGTTTGGCTACCATGTGCTTCAAAGCCTGTAACATAATACTTGGCTTTTTCAAAGTGTCTTTTGGTGTTTTCTTTCTGTTTGGCTACCATGTGCTTCAAAGCCTGTAACAATATTTTGAAGTGTCTTTTGGTTTTCTTTCTGTTTGGCTACCATGTGCTTCAAAGCCTGTAACAATATTTTGAAATTTTTTAAAGTGTCTTTTGAAGTGTCTTTTTTTTCTTTCTGTTTGGCTACCATGTGCTTCAAAGCCTGTAACAATATTTAAAGTGTCTTTTGGTTTTTTCTTTCTGTTTGGCTACCATGTGCTTCAAAGCCTGTAACAATATTTTGAAGTGTCTTTTGGTTTTCTTTCTGTTTTTGTGTTTTAACAATATTTTGAAGTGTCTTTTTGTTTTTCATGTGTTTGGCTAAAGCCTGCCTGTAACAATATTTTGAAGTGTCTTTTGGTTTTTCTTTCTGTTTGGCTACCATGTGCTTCAAAGCCTGTAACAACAAATACCATGTTTCAAAGCCTGTAACAATATTTTGAAGTGTCTTTTGGTTTTCTTTCTGTTTTACCATGTGCTTCAAAGCCTGTAACATGTCTTTTGGCTTTCATAAACTTGGCTACCATGTGCTTCAAAGCCTGTAACAATATTTTGAAGTGTCTTTTTTTTCTTTTCTTTCTGTTTGTGTCTTTGGCTTTCATGTGCTTCAAAGCCTGTAACAATATTTTGAAGTGTCTTTTGGTTTTCTTTCTGTTTGGCTACCATGTTCTTCAAAGCCTGTAACAATATTTGAAGTGTCTTTTGGTTTTCTTTCTGTTTGGCTACCATGTTTGTCTTTGGTTTTCATAATGTTTGGCTACCATGTGCTTCAAAGCCTGTAACAATATTTTAAAAGTGTCTTTTGGTTTTCTTTCTGTTTGGCTACCATGTGCTTCAAAGCCTGTAACAATATTTTTGAAGTGTCTTTATACCATTTTCAAAAGCCTGTAACAATATTTTAAAGTGTCTTTTGGTTTTCTTTCTGTTTGGCTACCATGTGCTTCAAAGCCTGTAACAATATTTTGAAGTGTCTTTTGGTTTTCTTTCTGTTTGGCTACCATGTGCTTCAAAGCCTGTAACAATATTTGGCTACCATGTGTAACTTCAAAGCCTGTCAATATTTTGGTCTTTTCTTTTCTGTTTGGCTACCATGTGCTTCAAAGCCTGTAACAATATTTTGAAGTGTCTTTTGGTTTTTTCTTTCTGTTTGGCTACCATGTGCTTCAAAGCCTGTAACAATATTTTGAAGTGTCTTTTGGTTTTCTTTTTGCTTTTCTGTTTTTGGCTACCATGTGCTTCCAAAGCCTGTAACAATATTTTGAAGTGTCTTTTGGTTTTCTTTCTGTTTGGCTACCATGTGCTTCAAAGCCTGTAACAATATTTTGAAGTGTCTTTTGGTTTTCTTTCTGTTTGGCTACCATGTGCTTCAAAGCCTGTAACAATATTTTAAAGTGTCTTTTGGTTTTCTTTCTGTTTGGCTACCATGTGCTTCAAAGCCTGTAACAATATTTTGAAGTGTCTTTTGGTTTTCTTTCTGTTTGGCTACCATGTGCTTCAAAGCCTGTAACAATATTTTGAAGTGTCTTTTGGTTTTTCTTTCTGTTTGGCTACCATGTTTCAAAGCCTGTAACAATTTTTTTCTTTTGTCTTTTTTTCTTTCTGTTTGGCTACCATGTGCTTCAAAGCCTGTAACAATATTTTAAAGTGTCTTTTGGTTTTCTTTCTGTTTGGCTACCATGTGCTTCAAAGCCTGTAACAATATTTTGTGTCTTTTGGTTTTCTTTCTGTTTGGTTGCCATGTGCTTCAAAGCCTGTAACAATTTGTGCTTACAATATTTGGCTACCATGTGCTTCAAAGCCTGTAACAATATTTTGAAGTGTCTTTTGGTTTTCTTTTCTGTTTGGCTACCATGTGCTTCAAAGCCTGTAACAATATTTTGAAGTGTCTTTTGGTTTTCTTTCTGTTTGCCTATGTGCTTCAAAGCCTGTAACAATATTTTTGTCTTTGGCATTTTTCTTCTAAAGCCTGTACCATGTCTTTAAATATTTTTCAAAGCCTGTCTTTTGTGTTTGGTTTTCTTTGGTTTTTTCTGTTTGGTCTTTTCTTTCTAATTTGCCATGTGCTTCAAAGCCTGTAACAATATTTTAAAGTGTCTTTTGGTGTTTTACCATGTGCTTCAAAGCCTGTTTGGCTTTCTGTTTGGCTACCATGTGCTTCAAAGCCTGTAACAATATTTTGAAGTGTCTTTTGGTTTTCTTTCTGTTTGGCTACCATATTGCTTTGTATTTCTGTCTTTTTGGCTTTCTAACATTTACCTGCTTTAAGCCTGTAACAATATTTTAAAGTGTCTTTTGGTTTTCTTTCTGTTTGGCTACCATGTGCTTCAAAAGCCTGTAACAATCTTTTGGTTTCTTTCTGTTTTACCATGTGCTTCAAAGCCTGTCTTTTGTGTCTTTTTTTTTCTGTTTGGCTACCATGTGCTTCAAAGCCTGTAACAATATTTTGAAGTGTCTTTTGTTTTTTTCTGTTTGGCTACCATGTGCTTCAAAGCCTGTAACAATATTTTAAAGTGTCTTTTTGGTTTTCTTTCTGTTTGGCTACCATGTGCTTCAAAGCCTAACAATAGTGTCTTTTAACAATATTTTAAAGCTTGTCAATATTTTGTGTCTTTTTTTCTTTCTGTTTGGCTACCATGTGCTTCAAAGCCTGTAACAATATTTTGAAGTGTCTTTTGGTTTCTTTCTGTTTGGCTACCATGTGCTTCAAAGCCTGTAACAATATTTTGAAGTGTCTTTTGGTTTTCTTTCTGTTTGGCTACCCATGTGCTTCAAAGCCTGTAACAATATTTTTAAACTTGTCTTTTGGTTTTCTTTCTGTTTGGCTACCATGTGCTTCAAAGCCTGTAACAATATTTTTAAAGTCTTTGTCTTTTGGTTTTCAAAAGCCTTTCTGTTTGGTTTTCTTTCTGTTTGGCTACCATGTGCTTCAAAGCCTGTAACAATATTTTAAAGTGTCTTTTGGTTTTTCTTTCTGTTTGGCTACCATGTGCTTCAAAGCCTGTAACAATATTTTGAAGTGTCTTTTGGTTTTCTTTCTGTTTGGCTACCATGTGCTTCAAAGCCTGTAACAATATTTTAAAGCTTTTTGGTTTTCTTAATGTTTGGCTACCATGTGCTTCAAAGCCTGTAACAATATTTTGAAGTGTCTTTTGGTTTTCTTTCTGTTTGGCTACCATGCTTCAAAGCCTTAACAACAAAAGTGTCCTTTCTGTTTGGCTACCATGTGCTTCAAAGCCTGTAACAATATTTTAAAAGTGTCTTTTTGGTTTTCTTTCTGTTTGGCTACCATGTGCTTAAAGCCTGTAACAATATTTTGAAGTGTCTTTTGGTTTTCTTTCTTTGGCTACCATGTGCTTCAATGACTGTAACAATAAAGTGTCTTTTGGTAAACAATATTTTGCCTGTAACAATATTTTGGTGTCTTTTTTTCTTTCTGTTTGGCTACCATGTGCTTCAAAGCCTGTAACAATATTTTTGAAGTGTCTTTTGGCTTTTTTTCTTTCAAAGCCTAACAATATTTTGTGTCTTTTGGTTTCCATGTACCATGTGCTTCAAAGCCTGTAACAATATTTTAAAAGTGTCTTTTGGTCTTTTTGTAACAATATTTTAAAGTGTCTTTTTTTCTTTCTGTTTGGCTACCATGTGCTTCAAAGCCTGTAACAATATTTTGAAGTGTCTTTTGGTTTTCTTTTTGTGCTTCAAAGCCTGTAACAATATTTTTAGTGTCTTTTGGTTTTTTTCTTTCTGTTTGGCTACCATGTGCTTCAAAGCCTGTAACAATATTTTAAAGTGTCTTTTGGTTTTCTTTCTGTTAACAAAGCCTGTAACAATATTTTAAAAGTGTCTTTTGGTTTTCTTTCTGTTTGGCTACCATGTGCTTCAAAGCCTGTAACAATATTTTAAAGTGTCTTTTGGTTTTCTTTGTTTGGCTACCATGTGCTTCAAAGCCTGTAACAATATTTTGAAGTGTCTTTTTTTCTTTCATTTTGCTACCATGTGCTTCAAAGCCTGTAACAATATTTTGAAGTGTCTTTTGGTTTTCTTAATGTTTGGCTACCATGTGCTTTAAAGCCTGTAACAATATTTAAAAGTGTCTTTTGGTTTTCTTTCTGTTTTTGTGCTAAGCCATGTAACAATATTTTAAAAGCCTGTAACAATATTTTGAAGTGTCTTTTGGTCTTTTTTTCTTTCTGTTTTTTGGCTTCAAAGCCATAACAATATTTCAAAGTGTCCTTGTAACACCATGTTTCAAAAAAGTGTCTTTTGGTTTTTCTTTTGGTTTTTCTTTCTGTTTGGTCTTTTGGCTTTCATGTGCTTCAAAGCCTGTAACAATATTTTGAATTGTCTTTTTGTTTTCTTTTGGTTTTCAATTTCTTTTGTTTTTCTTTCTTTGGCTACCATGTGCTTCAAAGCCTGTAACAATATTTTTAAAGTGTCTTTTGGTTTTTCTTTCTGTTTGGCTACCATGTGCTTCAAAGCCTGTAACAATATTTTAAAAAAGCCTTAACAATAGCCTGTTAGTGTCTTTTTGGTTTTTTCTTTCTGTTTGGCTACCATGTGCTTCAAGTGTAATATTTTTTGGTTTTCTTTTTCTGTTTGGCTACCATGTGCTTCAAAGCCCAATATTTTAAAACAATATTTCAAAGCCTGTAACAATATTTTGAAGTGTCTTTTGGTTTTTCTTTTTCTGTTTGGCTACCATGTGCTTCAAAGCCTGTAACAATATTTTTAAAAGTGTCTTTTGGTTTTTCTTTCTGTTTGGCTACCATGTGTTTCAAAGCCCTTTTGCTTTCATAATATTTTGCTTAAAAGCCTGTCTTTTGTTTTTCAAAGCCTTTATTTGTTTGCTTTCTTTCTGTTTGTCTACCATGTGCTTCAAAGCCTTAACAATATTTTAAAGTGTCTTTTGGTTTTTCTTTCTGTTTTGGCTACCATGTGCTTCAAAGCCTGTAACAATATTTTTGAAGTGTCTTTTGGTTTTTCTTTCTGTTTGGCTACCATGTGCTTCAAAGCCTGTAACAATATTTTAAGTGTCTTTTGGTTTTCTTTCTGTTTGGCTACCATGTGCTTCAAAGTCTTTGAAGTGTCTTTGGCTTTCATAATATTGCTTCAAAGCCTGTAAGAATATTTTGAAGTGTCTTTTGGTTTTCTTTCTGTTTGGCTACCATGTGTTTAACAATAAAATGTCTTTTGGTTTTCTTTCTGTTTTGGCTGGCTTGCCTAACAATATTTTGAAGTGTCTTTTGGTTTTCTTTCTGTTTGGCTACCATGTGCTTCAAAGCCTGTAACAATATTTTGAAGTGTCTTTTGGTTTTTTTTCTTTTTGTAACATGTGCTTACCTGTAACAATATTTTGAATGTCTTTTGGTTTCTTTCTGTTTGGCTACCATGTGCTTCAAAGCCTGTAACAATATTTTGAAGTGTCTTTTGGTTTTTCTTTCTGTTTGGCTACCATGTGCTTCAAAGCCTGTAACAATATTTTAGTGTCTTTTGGTTTTCTTTCTGTTTGGCTACCATGTGCTTCAAAGCCTGTAACAATATTTTGAAGTGTCTTTTGGTTTTCTTTCTGTTTGGCTACCATGTGCTTCAAAGCCTGTAACAATATTTTAAAGTGTCTTTTGGTTTTCTTTCTGTTTGGCTACCATGTGCTTCAAAGCCTGTAACAATATTTTAAAGTGTCTTTTGGTTTTTCTTTCTGTTGTTTGGCTACCATGTGCTTCAAAGCCTGTAACAATATTTTGAAGTGTCTTTTGGTTTTCTTTCTGTTTGGCTACCATGTGCAAAGCCTGTAACAATATTTTGAAGTGTCTTTTTGTTTTCTTTCTTTTGGTCATGTTCCAAAGCCTTCATTTTGAAGTGTCTTTTTGGCTACCATGTGCTTCAAAGCCTGTAACAATATTTTAGTGTCTTTTTGGTTTTCTTTTTTGGCTACCATGTGCTTCCAAAGCCTGTCAATATTTTGGTCTTTTTTCTTTCTGTTTGGCTACCATGTGCTTCAAAGCCTGTAACAATATTTTGAAGTGTCTTTTGGTTTTCTTTCTGTTTTTCATGTTTCTGTAAACAATATTTTGTTTGGCTACCATGGCTACCATGTGCTTCAAAGCCTGTAACAATATTTTAAAAGTGTCTTTTGGTTTTCTTTCTGTTTTGGCTACCATGTGCTTCAAAGCCTGTAACAATATTTTAAAGTGTCTTTTGGTTTTTAATGTTTGGCTACCATGTGCTTCAAAAGCCTGTAACAATATTTTTAGAAGTGTCTTTTGGTTTTTCTTTCTGTTTGGCTACCATGTGCTTCAAAGCCTGTAACAATATTTTAAAGTGTCTTTTGGTTTTCTTTTGGCTACCATGTGCTTCAAAGCCTGTAACAATATTTTGAAGTGTCTTTTGGTTTTTTCTTTCTGTTTGGCTACCATGTGCTTCAAAGCCTGTAACAATATTTTGGAAGTGTCTTTTGCCTGTTTTCTTTCTGTTTGGCTACCATGTGCTTCAAAGCCTGTAACAATACGTGTCTGTTTTTGGTTTTAACAATATTTTTTTTTTTGCTTCAAAGCCTGTCTTTTGGTTTTCTTTCTGTTTGGCTACCATGTGCTTCAAAGCCTGTAACAATATTTTGAAGTGTCTTTTGGTTTTCTTTCTGTTTAACAATATTTCAAAGCCTGTAACAATATTTTAAAAGTGTCTTTTGGTTTTCTTTCTGTTTGGCTACCATAATATTTTCAAAGCCTGTAACAATATTTTGAAGTGTCTTTTGGTTTTTCTTTTTCTGTTGGCTACCATGTTTCAAAGCCTGTAACAATATTTTGAAGTGTCTTTTGGTTTTCTTTCTGTTTGGCTACCATGTGCTTCAAAGCCTGTAACAATATTTAAAAGTGTCTTTTGGTTTCTTTCATGTTTTTTACCATTTGCTTCAAAGCCTGTAACAATATTTTTGAAGTGTCTTTTTGGTTTTCTTTCTGTTTGGCTACCATGTGCTTCAAAGCCTGTAACAATATTTTGAAGTGTCTTTTGGTTTCTTTCTGTTTGGCTACCATGTGCTTCAAAGCCTGTAACAATATTTTTGAAGTGTCTTTTGGTTTTTTTCTGTTTGGCTACCATGTGCTTCAAAGCCTGTAACAATATTTTGAAGTGTCTTTTGGTTTTCTTTCTGTTTGGCTACCATGTGCTTCAAAGCCTGTAACAATATTTTTGAAGTGTCTTTTCTTTTACCATGTGCTTCAAAGCCTGTAACAATATTTTGAAGTGTCTTTTGGTTTTCTTTCTGTTTGGCTACCATGTGCTTAAAGCCTGTAACAATATTTTAAAAGTGTCTTTTGGTTTCTTTCTGTTTGGCTACCATGTGCTTCAAAAGCCTGTAACAATATTTTAAAGTGTCTTTTGGTTTTCTTTCTGTTTTCATTTCAAAAGCCTGTAACAATATTTTGGTGTCTTTTGGTTTTCTTTCTGTTTGGCTACCTTTAAAGCCTGTAACAATATTTTGAAGTGTCTTTGGTTTTCTTTTGTGTTTGGCTACCATGTGCTTCAAAGCCTGTAACAATATTTTAAAGTGTCTTTTGGTTTTTCTTTCTGTTTGGCTACCATGTGCTTCAAAGCCTGTAACAATAAGTGTCTTTTGGTTTTCTAATGTTTGGCTACCATATTGTTTTTTAACAATATTTTTAAAGTGTCTTTTGGTTTTCTTTCTGTTTGGCTACCATGTGCTTCAAAGCCTGTAACAATATTTTGAAGTGTCTTTTGGTTTTCTTTCTGTTTTGGTTACCATGTGCTTCAAAGCCTGTAACAATATTTTGAAGTGTCTTTGGTTTTCTTTCTGTAACAATATGTGCTTCAAAGCTGTAACAATATTTTGAAGTGTCTTTTGGTTTTCTTTCTGTTTGGCTACCATGTGCTTCAAAGCCTGTAACAATATTTTGAAGTGTCTTTTGGTTTTCTTTCTGTTTAACAATATTTTGAAGTGTCTTTTGGTTTTCCATGTGCTTCAAAGCCTGTAACAATATTTTTGAAGTGTCTTTTGGTTTTTCTTTCTGTTTGGCTACCATTTGTTCAAAGCCTGTAACAATATCAAAGTGTCTTTGGGTTTTCTTAATACTTGGCTACCAATGCTTAAAGCCTTAACAATATTTTGAAGTGTCTTTTGGTTTTCTTTCTGTTTGGCTACCATGTGCTTCAAAGCCTGTAACAATATTTTGAAGTGTCTTTTGGCTTTCATAATACTTGGCTACCATGTGCTTCAAAGCCTGTAACAATATTTTGAAGTGTCTTTTGGTTTTCTTTCTGTTTGGCTACCATGTGCTTCAAAGCCTGTAACAATATTTTGAAGTGTCTTTTGGTTTTCTTTCTGTTTGGCTACCATGTGCTTCTTCCTGTAACAATGTTTTCAAGTGTCTTTTGGTTTCAATATTTTCAAAGCCTGTAACAATTTTTATAGTGTCTTTTGGTTTTCTTTCTGTTTTTGTGCTTCAAACCATAACAATATTTTCAAAGCCTGTAATAATGTTTCAAAGTGTCAATATTTTTGGTTTTCTTTCTGTTTGGCTACCATGTGCTTCAAAAGCCTGTAACAATATTTTAAAAAGTGTCTTTTGGTTTTCTTTCTGTTTGGCTACCATGTGCTTCAAAAGCCTGTAACAATATTTTAAGTGTCTTTTGGTTTTCTTTCTGTTTGGCTACCATGTGCTTCAAAGCCTGTAACAATATTTTTAAAGTGTCTTTTGGTTTTTCTTTTCTGTTTGGCTACCATGTGCTTCAAAGCCTGTAACAATATTTTTAAAGTGTCTTTTGGTTTTTTCTTTCTGTTTGGCTACCATGTGCTTCAAAGCCTGTAACAATATTTTGAAGTGTCTTTTGGTTTTCTTTCTGTTTGGCTACCATGTGCTTAAAAGCCTGTAACAATATTTTTAAGTGTCTTTTGGTTTTCTTTCTGTTTGGCTACCATGTGCTTCAAAGCCTGTCTTTTAATAATATTTTGTTTCAAAAGTGTCTTTTGGTTTTCTTTCTGTTTGGCTACCATGTGCTTCAAAGCCTGTAACAATATTTTTTAAGTGTCTTTTGGTTTTTCTTTCTGTTTACTTACCATGTGCCAAAGCCTGCTTAACAATAAGTTTTCTTTCTTTGGCTACCATGTGCTTCAAAAGCCTGTAATATTTTTGAAGTGTCTTTTGGTTTCTTTCTGTTTGGCTACCATGTGCTTCAAAGCCTGTAACAATATTTTAAAGTGTCTTTTTGGTTTTTTTTTGTTTGGCTACCATGCTTCAAAGCCTGTAAACAATATTTTGAAGTGTCTTTTGGTTTCCTGTTTAACTTTAAATATAACAATATTTAAAAAGTGTCTTTTGGTTTTCTTTCTGTTTGGCTACCATGTGCTTTAAAGCCTGTAACAATATTTTGAAGTGTCTTTTGGTTTTCAAATACTTGGCTACCATGTGCTCAAAGCCTGTAACAATATTTTAAAAGTGTTTTCTTTCTGTTTGGCTACCATGTGCTTCAAAGCCTGTAACAATATTTTTAAAGTGTCTTTTGGCTTTTTCTTTCTGTTTGGCAATACCATGTGCTTTCATAATACTTAAAGCCTGTAACAATATTTTGAAGTGTCTTTTGGTTTTTTCTGTTTCAACATGTGCTTTAAAGCCTGTAACAATATTTAAAGTGTCCTTTCTTTTTGGCTTCCATTCAAGCCTGTAACAATATTTTGAAGTGTCTTTTGTTTTCTTTTTTCTTTCTGTAAAACAATATTTTGGTCTTTATGGCCATAATGTGCTTTAAAGCCTGTAACAATATTTTGAAGTGTCTTTTGGTTTTCTTTCTGTTTGGCTACCATGTGCTTCAAAGCCTGTAACAATATTTTAAAGTGTCTTTTTTTTTCTGTTACCATGTGCTTTCTGTAATAATATTTTTGAAGTGTCTTTTGGCTTTCTGTAATACTATGTGTTTCAAAGCCATGTGCTTCAAAGCCTGTAACAATATTTTTAAAGTGTCTTTTTGTTTTTTCTTTTTGTTTGGTTTACCATGCTTGCCAAAGCCTGTAACAATATTTTTAAAGTGTCTTTTGGTTTTTGTTTCTGTTTGGCTACCATGTTCAAAGTCTGTTCAAAGTGTCTTTGCCTGTAACAATATGTTTTGTAACAATATTTTGTGCGTCTTTTGTTTTCTTTCTGTTTGATAAGTGTCTTTTGGTTTTCTTTCTGTTTGGTTTAAAGTGTCTTTTGGTTTCTTTCCATGTGCTTCAAAGCCTGTAAACAATATTTTAAAGTGTCTTTGGTGTCTTTTGCACCTACTATTTTCTTTCTATTTTGGTGTCTTTTGGTTTTCATAATGCTACCATGTGCTTCAAAGCCTGTAACAATATTTTGAAGTGTCTTTTGGTTTTCTTTCTGTTTGGCTACCATGTGCTTCAAAGCCTGTAACAATATTTTGAAGTGTCTTTTTGGTTTTCTTTTCTGTTTGGCTCCCCATGTGTTTTAAAGCCTGTAACAATATTTTAAAGTGTCTTTTGGTTTTCTTTCTGTTTATTACCATGTGCTTCAAGCCTTTCAATATTTTAAATTTTCCTGTAACCATATTTTCAAAGCCTGTCTTATCTTTTTTTCTGTTAGCAAGGTGCTTCAAAAGCCTGTAACAATATTTTGAAGTGTCTTTTGGTTTTCTTTCTGTTTTGGCTACCATGTGCTTCAAAGCCTGTAACAATATTTTGAAGTGTCTTTTGGTTTTCTTTTCTGTTTGGCTGTAACCATGTGCTTTCTTAAAGCCTGTAACAATATTTTAAAGTGTCTTTTGGTTTTTTTCTTTCTGTTCCAAAGCCTTAACAATATTTTAAAGTGTCTTTTGTCTTTTCTGTTTCTACCAAGCCTGTAACAATATTTTGAAGTGTCTTTTGGTTTTCTTTCTGTTTGGCTACCATGTGCTTCAAAGCCTGTAACAATATTTTGAAGTGTCTTTTGGTTTTCTTTCTGTTTTACCATGTGTTTTAAAGCCTAACAATATTTTGAAGTGTCTTTTTTGGCTACCATGTGTTTCAAAGCCTGTAACAATATTTTAAAGTGTCTTTTGGTTTCTTTCTGTTTGGCTACCATGTGCTTTAAAGCCTGTAACAATATTTTGAAGTGTCTTTTGGTTTTTTCTTTCTGTTTGGCCTGTATTTTAAAGTGTTTTTTGGTTTTTCTTTCTGTTTGGCTACCATGTGCTTCAAAGCCTGTAACAATATTTTAAAGTGTCTTTTGGTTTCTTTTCTGTTTGGCTACCATGTGCTTCAAAGCCTGTAACAATATTTTAAAGTGTCTTTTGGTTTTTTTCTGTTTCTTTTGCTGAAGCCTGTAACATGTGCTTCCAAAGCCTGTAACAATATTACAAAGTGTCTTTTGGTTTTTCTTTCTGTTTGGCTACCATGTGCAATATTTTGGAAAAGCCTGTAACAATATTTTTAAAGTGTCTTTTGGTTTTTTTTTTTTCTTTTGGCTTCATTTAGTGTCTTTTTGGTTTCTTTCTGTGTTACCAAAGCCTGTAACAATATTTTAAAGTGTCTTTGGTTTTTTCTTTCTGTTTTTGGCTACCTGTGACAATATTTGGAAAGCCTGTAACAATATGTTCAAAAAGTGTCTTTTAGTCTTTTTCTTTTCTGTTTGGCTACCATGTGCTTCAAAGCCTGTAACAATATTTTAAATGTCTTTTTTTCTTTCTGTTTTGGCTACCATGTGTTTCAAGCCTGTAACAATATTTCTTTAAAGCCTGTCTTCAAAGCCTGTAACAATATTTTGAAGTGTCTTTGGTTTTCTTTCTGTTTGGCTGCCATGTGCTTCAAAGCCTGTAACAATATTTTAGTCTTGTCTTTTGGCTACCATTTTTCTTTCTGTTTGGTTTCTAACTTTCCATGTGCTTGTAAAGTGTCCTGTAAACTTGGCTAACATGTTTTGTAACAATAAGTGTCTTTTGGTTTTCTTTCTGTTTTGGCTACCATGTGTTTCAAAAGCCTGTAACAATATTTTTGAAGTGTCTTTTGGTTTCTTTCTGTTTGGCTTCATGTGCTTCAAAGCCTGTAACAATATTTTGACGTGTCTTTTAGTTTTCTTTCTGTTTGGCTACCACCTTTTAAAGTGTCTTTTGGTTTCTTTCTGTTTGTGTTTTCAAAGCCTGTAACAATATTTTAAAGTGTCTTTTGAGTTTTTCATAATGTTTGGCTACCATGTGCTTCAAAGCCCTGTAACAATATTTTTGGTTTTTCTTTCTGTTTGGCTACCATGTGCTTCAAGTGTCTTTTGGTTTTCTTTCTGTTTTTGGCTACTGTAACATGTTAGCTGCCAAAGCCTGTAACAATGTCTTTTGGCTTTCATTTTGCTACCATGCTTCAAAGCCTGTCTTTTTGGTTTCTTTCTGTTTGGCTACCTACATGCTTCAAAGCCTGTAACAATATTTTGGCTCATAAACTTGGTGTCTTTTGTAACAATATTTTTTCTTTCTGTTTTCTTTCTGTTTGGCTACCATGCTTCAAAGCCTGTAACAATATTTTTTTTAAAAGTGTCTTTTGGTTTTTCTTTCTGTTTTGGCTACCATGTGCTTCCAAAGCCTGTAACAATATTTGAAGTGTCTTTATTTCACTGAAATATTTTAAGTATACTGGTTTTCTTTCTGTTTAGCTACCATGTGCTTCAAAGCCTTTTGAAGTGTCTTTTAGTTTTTCTTTCTGTTTGGTTACCATGTGCTTCAAAAGCCTGTAACAATATTTTGAAGTGTCTTTTGGCTTTCTTAATGCTGGCTACCATGTGCTTCAAAGCCTGTAACAATATTTTGAAGTGTCTTTGGTTTTTCTTTCTGTTTGGCCTACCTGCTTCAAAAGCCTGTAACAATATTTTTGAAGTGTCTTTTTGGTTTTCTTAATGTGTGGCTTCCATGTGTTTCAAAGCCTGTAACAATATTTTTGGAAGTGTCTTTTGGTTTTCTTTCTGTTTGGCTACCATGTGCTTCAAAGCCTGTAACAATATTTTTAAGTGTCTTTGGTTTTTTCTGTTTGGTTACCATGTGCTTTAAAGCCTGTAACAATATTTTGAAGTGTCTTTTAGTTTTCTTTCTGTTGGCTACCATGTGCTTCAAAAAGCCTGTAACAATATTTTAAAAGTGTCTTTGGTTTTCTTTCTGTTTGGCTACCATATTGCTTCAAAGCCTGTAACAATATTTTTAAGTGTCTTTTTTTCTTTCTGTTTAGCTACCATGTGCTTTAAAGCCTGTAACAATATTTTGAAGTGTCTTTTTGGTTTTTCTTTTCTGTTTGGCTGCCATATGCTTCCAAGCCTGTAACAATATTTTAAAGTGTCTTTTTGGTTTTTTTCATTCTGTTTTGGCTACCATGTGCTTCAAAGCCTGTAACAATATTTTAAAGTGTCTTTTGGTTTTCTTTCTGTTTGGCTACCATATGCTTCAAAAGCCTGTTTTAACAATCTTTTGAAGTGTCTTTTGGTTTCTTAATGTTTGGCTACCATGTGTTTCAAAACCTGTAACAATATTTAAAAGAGTTGTCTTTTGGTTTTTCTTTCTGTCTTTTAGTTTCTTTCTGTTTGGCTTCATGTGCCTGTAACAATATTTTATAGTGTCTTTTGGTTTTTCTTTCTGTTTGGTTACCATGTGCTTCAAAACCTGTATTTCAATATTTTGAAAGTGTCTTTGGGTTTTCTTTCTGTTTGGCTACCATGTGCTTCAAAGCCTGTAACAATATTTTTGATGTGTCTTTTTTTTTCTTTCTGTTTGGCTACCATGTGCTTCCAAAGCCTGCAACAATATTTTAAGTGTCTTTTGGTTTTTTTTCTGTTTGGCTACCATGTGCTTCAAAGCCTGTAACAATATTTTGAAGTGTCTTTTGGTTTTTCTTTCTGTTTGGCTACCATGCTTCAAAAGCCTGTAACAATATTTAAGTGTCTTTGGTTTTTCTTTCTGTTTGGCTACCATGTACTTCCAAGCTGTAACAATAAAGCCTGTAACAATATTTTCAAAGCCTGTCTTTTGGTCTTTTTTCTTTCTGTTTTGGCTAATAGCTTCAAAGCCTGTAACAATATTTTAAGTGTCTTTGGTTTTTCTTTCTGTTTTTGGTTACTATGTGCTTCTAAAGCCTGTAACAATATTTTAAAGTGTCTTTTGTTTTTCTTTTCTGTTTTGGCTACCATGTGCTTCAAAAGCCTGTAACAATATTTTGAAGTGTCTTTTGGTTTTCTTTCTGTTTGGCTACCATGTGCTTCAAAAGTCTATAACCAATATTTTGAAGTGTCTTTTGGTTTTCATAATGTTTGGCTACCATGTCTTTAAAAGCCTGTAACAATATTTTAAAAGTGTCTTTTGGTTTTTCTTTCTGTTTGGCTTTAATGTGCTTCAAAGCCTGTATTTAATATTTTAAAAGTGTCTTTTGGTTTTTCTTTCTGTTTGGCTACCATGTGCTTCAAAGCCTGTAACAATATTTAAAAAGTGTCTTTTGGTTTTCTTTCTGTTTTGGCTACCATGTGCTTCAAAGCCTGTAACAATATTTTAAGTGTCTTTTTGGTTTTCTTTCTGTTTGGCTACCATGTGCTTCAAAGCCTGTAACAATATTTTAAAAGTGTCTTTTGGTTTTTCTTTCTGTTTGGCTACCATGTGCTTCAAAAGCCTGTAACAATATTTAAAGTGTCTTTTGGTTTTTTCTTTCTGTTTTGGCTACCATGTGCTTCAAAGCCTGTAACAATATTTTGAAGTGTCTTTTGGTTTTCTTTCTGTTTGGTTACCATGTGCTTCAAAGCCTGTAACAATATTTTGAAGTGTCTTTTGTTTTTCTTTCTGTTGGCTTTCATGTGCTTCAAAAGCCTGTAACAATATTTTAAATGTCTTTTGTTTTTTTCTGTTTTCTGTTTGCTACCATGTGCTAAAGCCTGTAACAATATTTTAAAAGTGTCTTTGGTTTTCTTTCTGTTTGGCTACCATGTGCTTCAAAGCCTGTAACAATATTTTGAAGTGTCTTTTGGTTTTCTTTCTGTTTGGCTACCATGTGCTTCAAAGCCTGTAACAATATTTTTGAAGTGTCTTTTGGTTTTCTTTCTGTTTGGCTGCCATGTGCTTCAAAGCCTGTAACAATATTTTGAAAAGTGTCTTTTGGCTCATAATGTTTTGGCTACCATGTGCTTCAAAGCCTGTAACAATATTTTGAAGTGTCTTTTGTTTTCTTTCTGTTGGCTACCATGTGCTTCAAAAGCCTGTAACAATATTTTGAAGTGTCTTTTGGTTTCTGTTTGGCTAGCATGTGCTTCAAAGCCTGTAACAATATTTTTAAAGTGTCTTTTGGTTTTTTTCTGTTTGGCTACCATGTGCTTTAAAGCCTGTAACAATATTTGAAGTGTCTTTTGGTTTTTCTTTGTTTGTGCTCAAAACCTGTAACAATATTTTGAAGTGTCTTCTGTTTGGCCTGTAACAACAATATTGCAAATGTCTTTTTTGGCTTTGTAATACTACCATGTGCTTCAAAGCCTGTAACAATATTTAAAGTGTCTTTTGGTTTTCTTTCTGTTTGGCTACCATGTGCTTCAAAAGCCTGTAACAATATTTTAAAGTGTCTTTTGGGTTTTTTTCTGTTTTGGCTTCCATGTGCTTCAAACCATAACAATATTTTAAAAGTGTCTTTGGTTTTTCTTTTCTGTTTTGGCTACCATGTGCTTCAAGCCTGTAACAATTTTGAAGTGTCTTTTTGGTTTTTTTCTTTCTTTTGGCTTTCTACCATGTTAAAGCCTGTAACAATATTACAGAAGTGTCTTTTGGTTTTTCTTTCTGTTTGGCTACCATGTGCTTCAAAAGCCTGTAACAATATTTTAAAGTGTCTTTGGTTTTCTTTCTGTTTGGCTACCATGTGCTCCAAAAGCCTGTAACAATATTTTGAAGTGTCTTTGGTTTTTTCTTTCTGTTTGGCTGTGTGCATGCTTCAAAGCCTGTAACAATATTTTAAAGTGTTTTGGTTTTCTTTCTGTTTGGCTACCATATTGGCTTCAAAGCCTGTAACAATATTTTGAAGTGTCTTTTGGCTTTCATAATACTTGGCTACCTGCCCAAAGCCTGTAACATGTGCTTCAAAGCCTGTAACAATATTTTTAAGTGTCTTTTGTTTTCTTTCTGTTTGGCTACCACTTTAAAGCCTGCTGTATTTTAAAGTGTCTTTTTGGCTTTCATAATACTTCAGCTACCATATGCTTCAAAAGCCTGTAATATTTTGAAGTGTCTTTTGTTTTTCTTTCTGTGTAGCTACCATGTGCTACCAAAGCCTGTAACAATATTTTTGGAGAGTGTCTTTGGCTTTCATAATACTTGGCTACCATGTAACTTCAAAGCCTGTAACAATATTTTAAAAGTGTCTTTTGGTTTCTTTCTGTTTGGCTCCATGTGTTTCAAAGCCTGTAACAATATTTTAAAGTGTCTTTTGGTTTCTTTCTGTTTGCTTCCATGTGCTTCAAAGCCTGTAACAATATTTTTAAGTGTCTTTTGGTTTTTCTTTGTTTAGCTACCATGTGTTTCAAAGCCTGTAACAATTTTTGGAAGGTGTCTTTTGGTTTTTCTTTCTGTTTGGCTGCCATGTGTTTTAAAAGCCTGTAACAATGTTTTAAAGTGTCTTTTGGTTTCTTTCTGTTTGGCAATGTGCTAAAATGTAACAATATTTTGAAGTGTCTTTTGGTTTTTCTTTCTGTTTGGCTACCATGTACCTGTAAAAGTATCCTGTAACAATATTTTAGAAGTGTTTTTTGGTTTTCTTTCTTTTAAAAATGTCTTTGGTTTTTCTTTCTGTTTGGCTACCATGTGCTTCAAAGCCTGTAACAATATTTTAAAAGTGTCTTTTGGTTTTTCTTTCTGTTTGGCTACCATGTGCTTCAAAGCCTGTAACAATATTTAAAGTGTCTTTGGTTTTCTTTTGTTTGGTCTTCAAGCCTGTAACAATATTTTTGTCTTTTGGTTTTCTGTTTGGCTACCATGTTTTCAAAGCCTGTAACAATATTTAAAGTGTCTTTTGGTTTCTTTTGGTTTTGCTTCCAAAAGCCTGTTTCTACCAGTTTACTATGTTTCTTTTGGCTTTCATAATACCTGTAACAATATTTTAAAGTCAGTGTCTTTGGTTTTCTTTCTGTTTGGCTAAGTCCATGCTGCTTCAAAAGCCTGCTAAAGCCAATATTTTAAAGTGTCTTTTGGTTTTTTCTTTCTGTTTGGCTACCATGTGCTTCAAAGCCTGTAAAATATTTTAAGTGTCTTTTGGTTTTCTTTCTGTTTGGCTACCATGTGCTTCAAAGCCTGTAACAATATTTTAAAGTGTCTTTGGTTTTTCTTTCTGTTTTACCATGTGTTTTAAAAGCCTGTAACAATATTTTTAAAAGTGTCTTTTGTTTTTCTTTCTGTTTGGCTACCATGTGCTTTAAAGCCTGTAACAATATTTTTAAGTGTCTTTTTGGTTTCTTTCTGTTTGGCTACCATGTGTTTCAAAAAGCCTGTAACAATATTTCAAAGTGTCTTTTGGTTTTCTTTCTGTGTTAGCTACCATGTACTTCAAAAAGCCTGTAAAAATATTTTGGAAGGTACCATGTGCTTTTCTTTCTGTCTTTTGGTTCAAAGCCTTCTACCATTTGTATCTTTTGGCTTTACCATATGTTTTCAAAGCCTGTAACAATATTTTAAAAGTGTCTTTTGGTTTTTCTTTACCATTTGGCTACCATGTGCTTCAAAGCCTGTAACAATATTTTCAAAAGTGTCTTTGGTTTTCTTTCTGTTTGCTTCCAAGCCATATAACCAAAGCCTGTAACAATATTTTTGAAAGCCTGTATTTTTAGTGTCTTTTCTTTCCAATTTGGCTACCATGTGTTTCAAAGCCTGTAACAATATTTTTAAGTGTCTTTTGGTTTTTTTTTCTGTTTGGCTGTAACCATGTGTTTCATAAAAGCCTGTTTAACAACAATTTGAAAGTGTCTTTTGGTTTTTCTTTCTGTTTGGCTGTGTGCTTCAAAGCCTGTAACAATATTTTTAAAGTGTCTTTTGGTTTTCTTTCTGTTTGGCTACCATGTGCTTCAAAGCCTGTAACAATATTTTAAAGTGTCTTTTGGTTTTCATAATGTTTGGCTACCATGTGCTTCAAAGCCTGTAACAATATTTTAAAGAAGTGTCTTTTGGTTTTTTCTGTTTTACCATGTGTTTTCAAAGCCTGTAACAATATTTTTGAAAGTGTTTTGGCTTTCATGTACTTGGCTACCGTAAAAGCCTGTAACAATATTTTGAAGTGTCTTTTGGTTTTTCTTTCTGTTTGGCTACCATGTGCT